ATATATGCTTGTTCATTCATAATTTGAGATATGTATGGGATTCCCGGGGCCGTTCTTTGGGCAAGGGCGGAGACGTCCGTTTTTTTGCTAAGGTTCTTCCTCACATCACCATCTTATTATCACTCGTGTGAACGAATGTTCGACTTACCTAAGCGGATAGAGGCATTTTGTCTGGACAGAATGTGCGAATGTGCATGAGAGCGTCGTAAATAAATAAACGTACAAGTTTATCTGGTTCCAGGCAAGGGTGCGTTTTTCTTGTGGTAACTACATGATAGATTTGCGTATAGATAATATGATGTCCAATTATAGCTACCGTAAGATACCGTAATATCATTTGTCCATGATATTGTCTGTAGTGTGCTCTACTTTAGTACATTAGTCGTATTTCCAATGCCGTTAACTTTGTCTACTATGCAATCTCTGAGGAAAATACATATTTAGATGATAGATTTCTAAAAATGTTGATAATAATGTGTTAGGGAGACTATTATTATTTCATATTTATGAAACGATACCAAACAAAATAAGTTTTCTATTTAAGAACATGCTTGTCGACAGCAAGTACTCAGCTGTTCGAGCAGCACGTTCTTCCGCAGTAGAATTCGTTTTTGCTGTTCTCAATTAGAACTTTCGCCCAAACTGGATTTGCATTGCAAACTAATGGATTCGGTAACTTAGGCAGCGAATCGAATAAAAACACAAGCAAACGTTGCGTAGCCCATTATACACAGTTCATTATGAGGCAAGCGGGTGTGCCAACACTAACCTGTCCTCTGCGCAAGTCCTTTACAACTTCATTTCGCTTATTAACCTAAACTATTTTTTAATAAATATTATTGAAGTTCGTTTTATTCAGTGAAAAGAAAGCTCAATCATTGGACTTCTCGGAAACCGACAATATGTAGGAAAAAAATAATTTCGACAGTCCTCTAATGGTCATTTCCGTAAGGTAATAATGCCGATGTAGCAAAGAGATGAAAAGTTCAGAGAAATGAAGGTTTCGGAGAGCCCAACAGATGCAAATGTCGTCATCAGAAAGGCTGCTGCTATTGCAACGAAGTCCGTCATAACATATCAAATCGATCAAGCTGTACAAAAAATCGGCAATGATTTGAGTTTGAACCCCATTAGCACTGGATATTTACCTACACGGAATTGTTCATCATATACAGTTGGTAAGTTACGTGCGCTGCGTGGCGAAGTTTTACTGTTGAATGTAAATGCATGTGTACGTGCATGTGCACGAAGTACGTGTGCTCGACGAGTTCAACAAGCTAGACAGATTAGCTTCGCTATTTGATCTACAATCTATTTGACTAATATCTATAGGCGTCTTCAAATGTTTACTGCACATCAGGCTAATCGCAAGATATTTTCAATAGAATATTTTTCGCAAGAATGCATAATTACAATTGCGTTGGGATATCAGTAATGGTCCTGATTTTATAGAGAAACAGTTGTCAACCTCCCAAAATATCCTATTTGTTTAGGTTTGACAGCAGTCTGACAGCAGTGTTTTGGTTGGCACTCAAGATTTTCTCGCTGTCTGCTGTATGGTCTTTGACGGTCATATGTTGCGTGGAAACAAAATTATTAATCTTTTTTTCGCTTTTCGTATACTTCCAGTCTTTATTGATTACTTCATTATGTCACTCGTTTCGAAACGAGTTCGTGTCTAAATTGTGTGTGACTATCCATTTATTTGCCAGCTTTTGATACTGCATTTGATACGATTGAAGTCACTGAATTTTTGACTAAAGTCGAATTTTCGTGCCATCATCACGTATACGGCGAGATAACCGGTGAGATGTCGGATTGGAAGATGTGTAGGCATCGAGACTCGCTTCAGATAATTTTCTTCGAAGCCGAATGCTGAAAAGACAAACATCGGAGATTTGCTTGGAAAAAGAAAAGAATAAAATCTTTAGTTCTCTATAAATTTATAGGCTAGAGGATAGCTTGTTAATTCCTTTAAATTATAAAAAGTAGCTTTCTGATTCAAATGCGAAACTAGACACTCTAACTAACCGATGAAAATACATCGATGAGAAAGATATAATACATGCTACCGTTAAAAGGATGTCTAGATTTAACGGTCCCGATTACAGAGGTACTATTGTTTGGTTTCGATATAAAATACTTCCAATCATAATTTTACATAAAGGTAAGGCTGATCTCTCTACCTTAAACAGTTACCGGCACAAAACCGTCACAAGGTTTAAGAAAAAGCTTTGGGCAGCTTGGGGCTAGCTATGAGGATTATACTCTTCAGCAAAAATCCAGCGATGGCCCACTGAGCCGTTGTTCATGAAGAAGATACTTTACCGAGTTCATATATGTCGAGCTAAAATATTTGGATTCAGGGTGATGACACTGCCCCCAGCATCCATCACGATGTTTTCAAGGATTTTGACTCATACAACATTGTACTAGATTACTGTTGCTTCCTCACCTTTGAGTAGAGGACAGTTTTTGCAAATCGTTTTCATCTATTCTTTTTTATAGAATTGTGTAAGTAAAATTAAGAAATGTCTTTTTTTGTAATGTTGGCAAGTGTTTTTCAAATATATGTGCTAAAAGTTTATATTCAATCAAAATATTTTAAGCTTGCTGATTTTTTAAATG